GTAGAACAGCAAGCTATATATAGCTAGCCTGCAGACAAACGGAATAATCTAGAATCTATCTTTGTTTCCCGGATTTGTTTAATTTTTCCGTTCATGAGTCTGAAAATTTGATTGACATCCGTGGAAGCTCCCGGCTCACAGTCGGTGTTAGACTGTTTAAACTACTTTATCTTGCTTGGAAAAAATATATTTGGAGTTGCAAAAACACCGCAAACTTTCCTAATATATTACATTTTAAAAACATTATAACACTGATTTATTATACTAAAAACAATTTAGAAACCTTCAGAAATAAATGGAGTTCATTTTCTTTTTCTTAAATATATTTACGCTCAGTATATGTAAGCAAAAAAAAAAAAAAAACAACAACAACAACAACAAAAAAATTTATATACGATCCTGTACCCAAGCAATTTTGTTTAATTTATCTTTTATTAATTCTTTTTATTAGTATTTTTTCTTTTTCTCTTCTTTTTCTTTCTCTCTTTGTCATTTTCATATGATATACGTACAGCTAATTTACCTCTCTAAATGCAATGTAATATTATTATTCCGATTTGTACATAATATTATGTTAGACATTGTTAAACTTATATGCATATGCATATGTTAGACAGTAGCACTTATTTGCTGCTGCCATTAATTGTAAATAAAATTGATATATATATATGTAATGTTTAAAGGCCGACAATGAGGACTTGACGGGGTTTCAAAGTCCGCGCAATTAGTTCCAGTCCGAGGCGCTAGCCGAGGACTGGAACTAATTGCAAGGACTTTGAAATCCCGTCAAGTCCGAATTGGAGGCCTTTGAACGACTTCAAAAACTCATTAATTATTCGGGAGGGAAAAAAAGCGAAGGAAATAMATATAACAGAAATATATTGATTYATTGCATCTCCACTAAGGTTTTCAGTTTTCATAATTTTGAATRCATGAAGCACCGTTTGTTGTTCTTCAATTCCCGGACGGCTTTCTGAAACAAAAGCTATTCAAATTGTCTTTGTCTGCTATTCATGGCATTCCTAATGAGCCTAATCCATAAGATTTATAAGTATGTTATCTTCCGAGGAATCGCATCAGAAACTCGGTGGTGTAATGGTATAAGACGGCGCATATAGACTGGACGGTAGGGGATCGAGTCGTGAGGGAGTCATGTATCAAAGACCTTTTTTCACTAAATTAATGTTAAACTGATTATTTCCAATAATTTGATTATCATTAGCTAGTAGTAGTTGGAAACATGGTAGAAGTAACTGGAAATAAGGTAGAAATAACTGGAAATAATGTAGAAGTAAC